CCTCCTTCATCCAAAACCAAGTCATCAACTGTTTGTTTTACTTTTACAGGTGGTGGAAGAAACCTATTGTCTAGTAATCTAAATAGACCACTTCTTGGACGACAGCATTCTGTATTTCTATATTTTACAATTTGCAGCAAGTATTGGCTCTCACGCACATGTTCTGAATACCATTTAATGTCTGGAAAATCAGGAAGATCTGCCCCACCTGCCCCAACATATTTTGCATTAACATTATAGCCATCAATTTCCATTGAACTCCATACTTCAGCTAATACATTTCCTGCAAATTCGAAATTAGATCTTTCTAAATGTTCATCAATTGTAACGCCACGTTCATCCAAATGAGCCCCAAAATGGTCATGAGGCAATATTAAACCAGCCAGTTCCCGACTAAGAGGAGCCATTCTGCGCTCTACTCTGTTATACGCACTTCTTGAAGGAGCATTGGTAGCTAAAAACAATGCATCGAGATCATGTCGCTTAAAGTGTTGTATAGCAAACCCTATGACTTTTTGATAACGTGGATTTTCATCTGGCCCTCCATCAACCGTCATGATTACCACTGGTTTTACTAATCCATGGTCAGTTTTAGCTAATGGTCGAAACTCTTCAAGTTCGAGAAGCGTCTCAAAATCCTGAGCATGAGTATTAGCAGTAAGTGAACTATGATTTCCACTTCGAATATATGTTGGTCCAGAATATCCAACGGCTTGCGGTTGTCATAGCATATTGGAAGTGATTTTGATACCAGCATAAACAGATGGTATTAATTTATGACGTCCAGCGATTACCCAATCGTGATCAGGCAATTTGATTCTATATTCCATGTGCATTAAAAGAGGTGCTTGCTTATTTGCCGCAGTTACGCCAATATGGACTCGAGATTTATCATCTTGATATATGAAAAATACTTGATCTGGTCCAAGTATGGATGCTATGTTCTCTAAATAATGGATTGATGTTTCAGCGAACTTGCTATCTAAGTGGCTCTTGTGGTGATCAGTTTGAGCCCGAATGAGCTTAACAGAGACTGTCGATACATGTCTTCGTCCCTCTGCAGAATTAGATTTCCTGGGAATCAAGCGAAGATATATCCCACTGCGACTAATGTCAAATCCTATTTTACGTAATTCTTGTGTGAGTTCATCAAGAGTTTTACGCTTCGAATTTATTCCGGTTTTATTTTATCTTCTTCCTCTTTTTTAATATTTGACTGTATAATTTGTGTTTTTTTCTACAGGTTTACAGGTTGCCTAAAAATAAAAACTTTCCATGGCTTCTGTTAAAGATTCTCTTATTAAGCTACATAAATACAAAGTATGGCAATATATTTATGGCAAATACAAAACCCTATGGCTTTAAATCTAATATGTTTAAACGAGCAATTCGTTCCGGTCGCAAAATACAGGTTGTTAGTTTTCTGTATATATGTATAAACCTAACATCTTGTACTTTGTGACCAATTGACGGAATCAATCATAAGAAATAAATGTATAATATAATGAATATTACCACTATACTTTGAGATAGGCCATAATATTTTCGAATCAGTAAAGAGAACCTTTTTGGCGTTTTATAATATTTCTAGTACTCATAGGTACCTAAAGTGATTTCATCACTCACCTTAGTAAAAAAATTTAGTAGATTGGATTTATTCTTAGTCGCCGCTTGCAATTCTTCACATCTAGTTCCTTGTCGGATTTTTCTTGTAATTTGTAATTTCGCCACATTTCGTTAACTAACTTTTGTACATTTTGTACTTAAGTACTTCTATGAGATTTTTTAAAACATTCAAACAATTTTTGGTATAACTTGGATTTGTCTATGTGAAATGACATCTTATTTAAACATTAAACTTTGGCTAATGGAATCAATGGTAACACAAATGTTAACTTGCTTACAGTACGTCTACTCGCTATAGTATCCAAACGATAGAGGACATTTAGACAAGTGAACACCGCGCGCTGTTCACTAAACGTATGCATTATTTGCGGGAATCCCCGAAAATGCGTTTCGTTTTCAAGCAAAGACAATGTGAGGGTTGCCATTCGTGTAAAAAAGTAAATAACTACCGATGACGTAATCATCATCTAGACTCCCCTACCCCCCATGTCATAAGCAATGCAAAGATCCCCCGCCCCACCATAGTGCTCACGTAATACCTGAACGGCCCCTAAGGGGCAATCTCGGTATGTGAACAGCATCGTGACGGGCAACGAGACTTGGCTCTATTATTGCTATGTGCCGACCAAGGCTCAAAACAAAGTTTGGGTTTTTGATGAGAAGGACACACCCGTAGCTGTCCGAAAATCCCAATCTGTTGAGAAAAAAATGATAGCTGTATTTTTCAAATCGAGCGGAATTATGGAGAGTGTCGGTTTTGGACACACAGAAGACAAAGACAGCTAAGAGGTACACGGAACTGTGCCTGTCTAAAGTCATGGCCCAAGTCTAGAATGGGCACTTGGTACCTCCATGATAACGCTCCAGCCCACCGCGCGAAAGCCTGCACCGAATATTTGACCACTACTGGACTAAAACTTAATGAGCACCCTCCTTACAGTTCAGATCTTGCTCCCTGCGACTTTGCACTGTTTCCGCATGTGAAAATGAAGGTGGTTTTGGCGCATGGAGAAGTGTTTTGAATGTGGTGGAAATTACTTTGAACGAAGTCAACGAATAAAGCTGTATTGCAAAACTTCTATAGTACCCTTTGTACCTACTTAGGCACCCTGCTACTCAGTCAGAAATGTTTTGCAAGCTTTCTGTAACTATTATTTTTGAATCTTGAGAATCACTTACCTGTCTTCGGAAAACTACATATCCAAATATCCTCATTACGGACATCCCAATTGTGAATTTCATCCTGCAATTCCTCGAACCTTTTGGGCATCGTGAAGCCCTTCACTTTCACGTACCCCCGTCTGAACGACGACGTAAAATCCCTTTGTAGGATTTCGTCTAATTGTTCTTCTGTCAAACGCGCGGTCATCGTTGTTAGACTATTGCGAGCGTAGCAACAAAAGAATAACCACCTTATTCAGTCAAATCAGAAAGTTCTTTTTCACAGCCTTGACATAAAATCGATTTGCTATTGTAAAATCTGTATTATATGGCGGTTACGGACGGCGAAAAGAAAAAACAAAATGCGTGTAAAGTGAAAGCTCATGATACTATCTCGCCCAGTAATTCACATCTGAAACAGTACCTGCTAATGAAAAAAATTATACTCAAACTTCGACGATAAGGTAACCGCTAAAGACTTCGAAAATCTTCTCAAAAAAACATGTCTGTAGCACAGTGGTCCAAACACCTGAAAAACTGGCAAAAAATACATCTGTAGCATCTTCACAAAATTTGATACAGAAGCGTTTTTGTAGCCGCTGATTAAAAATCTGCTTCAGAAAACCAGGAATTCAATATATCGCATCCTTGAAATAAGTTGATATTATGATGTTTGATAGGAGATCATTATAGTACTATAGTGATTGCCGAGCAAGAAGGCTTCTTCAAAAAAACATTATATTTCAATTTTACACCAGAATCTGACCTTGACCTCGAGTAGCATTTGAGCTTGACACGACCTTGACTTCCAGTTCAAGGTCACACTCGGACGTTAAAGTTTCTGTGTTTTCCATTTCCAGTATAAAAAAGTTTCCTTCCTTTGGCTTGAACTTGAAGGTCCTAGCCAAGGTCATGCTCAAGGTTACCCATAAACCTCACAACTGTGCTGCCACTTTCGCTAGAGCAAATTGTTTTCTATGTCATGATTTGACCTTGAAATGGATTTATGTGGGTTTATGAATTCTAGGTTCCGGAGGGGAAAATGATGGTGACCTTGACAGTGTCCTTAAGTACGACCATCAGGATTCTTTTAAGGTCGAGCGGATATTTTCAAATATAGCCTCCTGACATTACCTTGACCGTAACCTTGATTATTGCCTCCAAAGTCAAACCTGCTCTAGCAAAAATCTGCAAAGTCGACGTCATTTTTTGAATTTGTATTGTTACAAAAAATAAAAAGAATCATAGTCAATTTCAATATCTATTAAGTATCTTTGCATTTTATATGTGCCTCAAGTTTTTTTAACTTTCTGCATCTTCGTCTTCCACAAGTGATCGAAGAACTCAAATAGTATTTGAGCTTGACACGACCTTGACTTCGAGTTCAAGGTCACTCTCGGACGTTAAAGTTTCTGTGTTTTCCATTTCCAGTATAAAAAAGTGTCCTTCCTTTGGCTTGAACTTGAAGGTCCTAGCCAAGGTCATGCTCAAGGTTACCTATAAACCTCACAACTGTGCTGTCACTTTCGCTAGAGCAAATTGTTTTCGATGTCATAATTTGACCTTGAAATGGCTTTATGGGGTTATGATCAAGATGAAATTCTAGAAAAAGTGTCAAATAAAAGTCGTAGGGATCCGGAGGGGAAAAATGATGGTGACCTTGATAGTGTCCTTCAGTACGATCTTCAAGATTTTTTAAGGTCTAGTGGATATTTTCAAATAAAACATCTCATTTTTCACATCGGAATTGAAAAGAGGAGCAAATCTTGCTTCCTGACATTACCTTGACTGGAACATTGACCATTACCTCCAAGGTCAAATCGAAAACAATTTGCACTGGCAAAACTGCTCGATATCACAGCTGTGAAGTTTGTGAGGCTCACCCAAAGATGACCTCGAAGATGATCTTCAATGTCATTCCTATTAACCTCACAACTGTGCTGTCTTGCACTTTTGAAATGGCTTTCAAAGTCAAGGTCATGACCAATGTGATGCTACGCATTCTAGAAAAAAGTGTCAAATGAAAGTTTTAGGGTTCCGGAGTAGAAAAAAGATGGTGATCTTGATAATGTCCTTGAGCACGATCTTCAAAATTCTTATAAGGTCGAGTGGATATTTTCAAATGTAGCCTCTTGACATTACATTGGCCGTGACCTTGACAGAGCACGACCTTCAAGATTATTTTAAGATCGATTGGATATTTTCAAATACATATATTACCTTGACCGTGACCTTGACCATTGCCTCCAAGGTAAAATCTGCTCTAGCAAAAATGTGCAAACTTGACGTCATTTTTTTAATCTGTATTGTTACAAAAAATAAAAAGAATCATAGTCAATATCTATTAAGTATTTTTGCATCTTATATGTGCTTCAAGTTTTTTGAACTTTCTGCATCTTCGTCTTCCACATATGATCGAAGAACTCCATTTCATTTTCATTTTCCACCGGAATGACGCTCAAAGTCATCGTGAATGGTCGTTTTCGTTGAATCATCTCCACAATATTGAACTTATTCTCCCCGTGTCTCTCATTTTGAGTTCGTCCATTTTCAGCCGTAGGCAAAGACGAAAATCTAAAGCTCGTAGTTGCTAGCAAATTCACCTCACTCGGGTCGTTGGGTCTGAAATGCTGCAACATTGATGGTCTTTCAACGTGAAGTGAAATTTTGCTTCCACCTATTCTCTCCATGTTGTTTGAAGAGTTCTCTTTCAAAACGTCTTGGATACTTGTTGGGTAGTTTTGACGTTTGTCTCTAGTAGAGTCCAAACTGAAAGGTCTTGGGAGAGGTGGCTTGTCTGTTTTTGAGTGTATTATTTGATAGTTTTCTTGATCGTATGGCGTCCCTGAGGAGTATCCGTTCTAAAAAGTAGACAATTTCATTATTATAGTTATACAGGGTGTTTCAGTTTATTGTTGCATAACTTCAAGATTCGATAGAACTATTAAAATTAATGCATAAAGTCTGTATAAACATGGGTCGAAAAATGCGTGGCTTCCGAAATACAGGGTGTTTAAATTTACTTTCTAAAATAGTTTTTTTTTAAATATTTCGAACAATATTTGATGTATAACAGTGAAAATTGGTATACAAGGGTTTTTTGGTACGACAAAACGAACCTACATTTTACTGTAGCCGCTAGAGGGCGCTCTCTACTGTATCTGTAGTGTATTAAAATGACCGAAAAAATTTTCTTAGTGCAATTTTTTGCTTTTTGAATAAAAAAACTGATTCTTCGCACTTTTCAACATAAAAAACCTCTCCTGTGAGTTTTCGTTATAGTTAGCCGTTTTTGAGATATTTCGATTTTTAAGGTTCCATGCATTTTTAATTATTTATGGGAAAATAATATTTTTTTTTACATTTTCGATTTGGGCATTACAAGTAATTAATTTGATCGTTTAGATTGTGTTTTTAAACACAGCAATAATTCTTAACTCCAAATAAACACAAAAAAACAGAATATTAATTTGTTTAATTTTCCAATATTATTTTTAACAAATTAAATTAATTATTTACAACTAAAATGCTATTGGATAGTTAGGACAAACATACAAAATCTAAAGTAGTTGCTCGAAATGTAAACCCAATTCACCATCTACGAATGATCGAACGTGGTATAGCATTATTCAAATAAGGCCTTATTCCATCACATGCATTCCTGATTCTGTCTATTAGCATATCTCTTGTGGTTACGGGAGTCTGGTACACTTTTTCTTTTAGAAATCCCCACACAAAGAAATCTAATGGATTTAGGTCAAGGGATCGTGGAGGCCAGACGACTGGTCCTCCACGGCCGATCCATCTTTCTGGATAATTTTCGTCCAGCCAGTTTCTAACTATTCTCGAATAATGAGCTGGACAACCATCAAGCTGGAACCAGGCCAATCTTCTTAAATCTAACATAACATCATCCCACATATTTGCATGTTCAGCCTTTAAAAATTCCAAGAAGGTCGCAGCATTTAACCTTGCAGGAAAAAGGTAGGGTCCAAATAGTCGATTACGGTAGATACCAATCCACACGTTCACACTAAATTCATGCTGAAAATTTCTTTCCCGAACTGCATGCGGATTTTCATGCGACCAGATATGTTGATTATGAACTTTACCACTCCACGTCTAGTGAAGCATGACTCATTGGTCCATAAAACGTTACTTAAAAACACCCTATTATTATCAGTTCTATCAAGAATCCACCGACAAAATGTGATTCTTCGTTCTCCGTCCCCTGGCTGTAGTCCTTGCACAGGTTGCAAATGGTAAGGACGTCTATGGTCATTTCTAAGAACACGGTGAACATGGCTTGCTGAAATTCCCAAGGCACCAGAAACTCTCCTAACACTTGTGGTCGGATCTCTATCAAACTCACGCAGAATCATACGGGCAAATCTGCGCTGACGAACATTTATGTTTTGATCCCTTTGGAGATTTCCAAAACCATTTTCAATTATTTGGCGATGCAATCGTACAAATACTGAGCGAGTTGGATGTCGTCTGTTTGGAAATCTTCGTGTGTATTCTCTGGCTGCTTCTGCTGCGTTTCCATTTACAAAGCCATATACAAAAAGAATATCCGCTAACTCTTGATTGGAGAATAAAAATGGCACTTTTATAAAACTTACAAAAAAAAACAGGTAAAAGAAACTAAATTTCGTGCATTCACAATTGCAAAAAAACGCTTCAGGTTTCAACAGACAACAAAACTAAATGTCAACTAATTGACGTTTAACATTATTCTGCTTTCAATTTCAAAAATATTTGCAGGCGCAGCCTACTTCTAAAAATTATCGAGATACTGACTTTTTAACGTTATTTTATCATAAATAATTAAAAATGCATAGAACCTTGAAAATCGAATTATCTCAAAAACGGCTAACTATATCGAAAATTCACAAGAGAGCTTTTTTATGTTGAAAAGTGCGAAGAATCATTTTTTTTGTTCAAAAAGCAAAAAATTGCACTAAGAAAAAAGTTTCGGTCATTTTAATACACTACAAATACAGTAGTGAGCGCCCTCTAGCGGCTACAGTAAAACTATGCCCATGGTTCGTTTTGTCGTACCAAAAAACTCTTGTATACCAATTTTCACTGTTATACATCAAATATTGTTCGAAATATTTAAAAAAAACTATTTTAGAAAGTAAATTTAAACACCCTGTATTTCGGAAGCCACGCATTTTTCGACCCATGTTTATATAGACTTTATGCATGAATTTTAAAAGTTCTATCGAATCTTAAAGTTATGCAACAATAAACTGAAACTCCCTGTATAGTGGCGAAGACTGAGTTTTAGCTTCAAGGATATTGATAATTTGGAAATACTTATTTTCAAAAATTTACAACACTTAATCATTTTCGAATCTAGCTTAATTTTATGGTCCAACATTTCCAGAATTTTATTTCGTACAAATGATACAATCGAGGAAATTTCCAACATAATAATTTTTTAATGTCTGGTGATGTCAGCATCATCAAAATTTATGTCCTTCATTTCCGCCAGTTTGTCTACTCGTATCTGCCTGACAACCTCTTTTCCACACGCGTAATTCCTAATCTCGAAAAACGTAGTTGACGTAATCAGAATTACAATATGACATTTCGTCTGATGTCCTCCAGCATCAACTTGACTTTTTTTATGGACGCCATATTGGATTTTTCCACGAATGAAAAGCGTTTTTAATTCTGAATCCAAACTGTTTACCTGTCATGCATTAACATTGCCAAACCTTAGTTATTTAAAAAAAAAACAGAATTTCTTGGGTAGGCCGTGATATTATTATATAGTCATTTGTTCCGTACATCAGATTTATTAAAAAATCATAACTGTTTTCTGACTTTATTTGAGATGTGATTTCAAAATAAATTGCACGTCCTTGTCACTACAAGAGAGGTTCAAATTTTGAATTCGAGGTTTTTTCTGTGGACTTCCGTCACCTACTTTGTTTTTTCATCTGGACGCTATATTGGAATTTTGAAAATTTAAATAACGGGTGATTCATTTAGAGGTACTTTTTTGGTGTGGCTGTAATTGCTTATGGCGCATGCGTCATGGCAACTAATTTGACATTTTCTGTTTCAGTATTGTTCGACATTTCATCATGGAACGACTTAGTCCAGCACAGCGTCTACAAATGATTCAGCTGTACTACGAAAATCAACGTTCTGCTAGAAGGGTGTTTTGTGCACTTAGAGCAACTTATGGTGTACATAATGGCTTTATTGCGAGAACATTTCGATGAACACTTAATTTCACGATTTGGACCAGTGAATTGGCCACCTAGATCATGTGATATCACACCTCTAGACTTTTTCCTTTGGGGCTACGTTAAGTCCAAAGTCTACTTTGATAAGCCCAATACGATTGAGGAATTAGAAGCCAACTAAATTACCCAGGTCATTCGCCAAATTCCAGTCGAAATGCTCCAACGTGTCATCGAAAATTGGAGCTTTAGAATGGACCATCTCAACCGCAGTCAGGGCCAACATTTGAAGGAAATAATATTTAAAAAATAAATGTCAAAAGTAGTTCTTTTCTTTAATAAAAAAGATTTGACAAGAAAAAAGAATTTTGTTATTTTACTTTGTTGCTGAAAAAAGTACCTATAAATGAATCACCCATTATTAAGAATAATATTACTTTGAATAATATTTTTTGAGCGATTTCTCATCGATTATAAAAATCCTGATCTCGTTCTACAGTTGCCAAAAATGCGCGCCCTTTTTTAAAAGTGCCTTACAAGTAGTTAGATCGCTATTAACAAAACACTTTCAAGGTGAATAGAATTTTTGTTTTCCGTGTCGTATATAGACAGATTCTTATACTAATACCCGGGAGAAATCAAATCAATCTAGAAATCTAATTGCATTTTTTAAGTTCTAACATAAAATAATAAATCAGCTTTTAGCACTGGACTTACCATAAAAATTACTACCATCAAGGTTGCTTTTATTAGACTCATAAATTTAACAGTGCTGCTTGCTGTCATAACTTTTACAAGATTAATTATTGATCTAGAAGGCGACAAGATATGAAACGAATTAAAATAATTTGTCGACAAAAAGTTGACGCCGCGTAAAAAATAACTGGAACGGAAAAACTTAATTAGGTAGTCTGATGTTAGTATTGTTCTTGAGGCATGGTAGGTATGTGATAATTGATGGAAGTCTACCAAGGCGTTGGTACTAATTTTTTCATTGCATTTTCTGCGTGACGATGTCACATTAAAAAAATAATCGACGTATACAGTGCGTTGCTAATTTTTCAAACTTAACTCTTACAGCTTTGCTCTCGGAAATGGTAAGATTTGAGAAGTATGTGAATTAGGACAAAACGGACTTGCACTTGTGTGAAGCTTTGTAAGTTCGAAAATGAAGTAAAACCCGTATTTTTTAAAACGACTTTTGATAAATTCGGCGTCAGGGGTGATATTTATTAAAATTTATTCTTTTTGTTTTGACAGCGTGGGGTGGGAGTTTATGACCCGCGTCACGCTGTTTTACGTCTTGCGATTTAATTTCAGTCCACAGGAAATGTGCATCAATTTACGCCCTAGGTAGATATATAACTATATTGCGCCTTCACTTTTTCGTATCAGAAATCTAGCAGTCCGGTTCTATATAAACCGTTAAAATGTCATCTGTCAAGGTGAAGGTGGTCAATTGTCTAACCCTAAAAATTGACCCTAACCTACAAATGTAACTGGCTTTTTCAAGCTCGTAGTTTTACCGGCTTTTCATACCGTCTACTCTGTTATAAAAGGAGTATTTGTATAAAAATATTGTAAATTATCAACACAACTAATAAATCTACCTACAACAGCTCGAGCCAGTGATAAAATGCTCTCAAATTGTTCCAATCATTAAAAAGTGAGGTCTGTTTACATGCTTCAGTTTTCCTTCAAACCAGAAAATATTCAGTAAACATGACTGAATTCACGCTGAGCTATAGAGAAATTATACCAGACCAGACTGCTTTGGACAGTTGGAAGGAAATAACATTAACAACAGGTATGTGAAACAACTAGTTTTCTTGGATCGACTTCTTCATACTTTAATGTTTTGTAGGGGGTACGCAGAGTACTTTGCAAGACATAAAAGTCGCAGAACGTGCAAATGGGTTCTGTTACGAAAATTCCAAGAAGCATTATACTAGAAATCGATTCATATATTGGTGAGTACTTCAACTTATATTTATCTATGCGAAATTGTATGTCTCATTTATACCTTTGCAGGAGAATAAACTATGATGTTCTGGAGTTGGTAGAACACAGTTTGGATATAAATTTGACCAACAATAGGGTCCGCTACAAATTCACAGACACACCTATTTTAGATGGGGTGTCCATACATGAAACCTATGAAAATATTGTAATCTTGGTGCCTACAGTTTGCAGTGTTCATTGTTTGGTGTTTCCACATCCAGAAAGATTCCACAAGCAGGCAAGTTCTTGTATAAAAAAAGTTTTACAAATAAATCAAGAAGATTTTTGTTATACAAGATTCAGTTTAGTTATAAGAACATTTGAAATACTAACACATTAACCAGTTTATTTAGAAAAATCAGATTTACAGACATTCCTTGTATAACTGGATTCTTTAATTTACATTTATGTGGTAATGATTCATTATGCTTTTTTATTTACACAGGACGAATTGTTGGGTAGCCATCCTGACCTAGCAGCACCATCAATATTTTCAAAGGCATCTCCAGTTGAAGCAAGGAATCCTAACACATTTTACTTGTTTAGCACACCTAGCACAGCAGGTAAAATAACAGAGTTTTACAATTCTTAGAAATGGTTTATAGTTTTAGTTACCTTGCGAGCCTAAATGCCACTACAACCTATTTGGATCTTATGCAGTCTCCCATATCCAGTGTAGAGCACCATGATTTTTTGACCAGACTCCATCATCTTGATACAGGGCTTTTCATGTTGCTTTCCAGTATTGGCATGGTGATTTCTGATACCCGAAACCTTAGGCTTGCCAGGCAGTGACACCAGAGATGCAATGGGGTTTCCGCATTCTTTCTGTAGAATTAGTAATTGGCCTCTTATGCTAGACCCAAGAGACCCATATGCTGAATTAAAAGACACTGTCATGTTAGGAGATCCACTATAGCTCTTATAATAATAATTATACTCTTACATTTAATTTTTTAAAGAAATAGTTTGGCTTCCTTTTCTCTATCTGGCCATTCTAGGGATCTTTTCTTGGCCCATTATCTCTTCTTTCATGCCCTTTGTGTTCTGGCATCCAGATCAATGTTAACCAGGATATTGCTCTAAGTACCAGGTAACATTGCTCTGGGTACCATAGAAATGAGTATAGTAAATCTTGTTTTTTGAGTATGTTGGTGAAATAAATTTTATTTTAGCTGACCAGTTGCCTTGTATGGCAAGTAGCTACCTGTCACCAGCTGAAGAGGCATTTTTTGTGCTTGCCTATCCTTCAAAAGAGCTACTTTTGATCAGACAAAATCCTCACAATGGTAATGCAGCTGCTACTGAGCTTAAGGCAGATTCTTCGCTCATGCCTAGGTTCCTTAGTGGCCTAGCTGAGAAATTCAGGTAAGATCATCATACCACTGATTGTAAGATACAGTATTTTACTAAACTCAACTGTACAGGATGTCCTCAAAGTTGGGACTTTCCTTTACATGGAAAAATTAGCAGTTTTTCCTAGTATTACATACACCAAAGTCTCAAGATTACAGAGATGTTAAGCTCCTCAGGATAAATCAAACCTAAACAACACCTAATCCGGTCACGATCCAACGTGAACACGTACGATTTACATCAGTACTCTGCTCGCGTTGGTAAACAAACCGTTTGCACATCGGTTCTAAAAGACAAAGCAAAATCACACAATCATACAGCAATATTGAATTTGTCCATATTATTTTAATTTACGATGAGTGTCTTCAAAATGCTACCGAGGCTCCGCGAGTGCATGCAGATCGTTTTCCAAGATCCTATGTTTTGTTTTTTTGTTTGAGGTGCAACGAAATGTTTAGTTTATAAAACTGAGGTAAACGCGGTTGACGAACTAGGTTTATATCCTTGCACAGTTTTAAATTATGAACCTTATCTGCAATTGACAACAAATGCGAACATTTTCAGTAACCTAGAAATTTAGATCAAAAGTGTTTTTTACGTTTCCTCAATATTTTTCTTCATGTGACTTGACTGGTTTATGCATTGGTTTTTTCTGAAAAAAAAATGCCCCCCTTGAGGCACCCTGTGTATTATATTTCCTGTTGAAAAATATAAGTTCATTTGATAAGCAACGTTTTTTTCAGGCAAAGAAACACTGATGGTGAGAGTATAGTAAGTCTCTTATTCTTTGTGAGTGAATATGAGGTGTATGTGGTGACACTGTGCAGAGAAGGCCGTCTCATGTTTTGGTCTTGTTCCAAAGGGCAGTGTGTTGCTATTGTTGATGTTGCCGCAGAAACTGGGGATTATTCTAGGGACCAAGTACAATCTGGTAAATTTACTTAAATTAATTTTATTATATGATTCTACCTCTTTCAAACTGTAAAGTCAGTTGGATTGTAACAGTCGCTTGTTTTTGCAGCTATATTAAGGAAGGCGGTAGATAACAAATCTACAACAGACAGCATCCTAGCTGTTTTCATTAATTTCTCATCCGGTTGCCAGTTTCATATCTTTTCTATCCCTGAAATCAATGGCCAACAAATCAGGATTCAACGTATCAAGACCTTGTTACCGCCTGAGGTAAGCTAATAATGATGATAACTGACGTCTTTATTAACAGAAACTCTATATTTCTCATAGAATTGTTTTAATCGATCTTGAGTTAGGTGCATGCTAAACCTCAACATTCGACTTGTATTTTTTGCAATAAAAACTATTATTACTGTTATCTTCTGCATAATGGTCCATATGAGGTTGGATCTGGAAATAATAATTCGAATTGATCCCAGGATTGTATGGAAAGTCCGGAGTCAACGTATTTGACACCATCTCTCCATTCACGATCCAGAGATTGAAATTATGAGTACTTCTATGGTTGTTGTTCAACTTTGCTGATAAAAACATTTCCGTTATAATTTCAGACGGACCTGATAGACTTTGCATTACAATCGAACCGCCTGTGGTCACTATGGCGGTGCGAAGACGGGGGTACTGCAGCGTATTGCAGCAGCTTGAGAGGGGAAGGGGTGGGATCCGGATGGGCCCCGGTCGCTTTGGAACCACCCCCTGATGCTGACAGGCCACCTCAAGCTGCGGAAGGTACAGTTGCCGACCCCAGACAGCTGTACCTGCATCATATCTTTCAACCAGGACGGTTCCCTAAGCACATCATCACTAAGGCTTTGTCGGTAAGTTAAAGCCAAGTAGTTAGGATAATGTGGTTTATGTCATTTTGAGCTCTGTACATTTAGCTAAGTTAGGGCGCTGAATACGAATATCGTGAAAAAACCTTAAAGGATCAAGGAGTGAAATATTGGTAAAAAACTGGGATCACCTGTGAATCCTAGCGCTAAGCTGACGTTGAATTCGGAATCTACGCACCCGATTTACCTATAAAACGAGTTTCAATACACATCACAGACGCTCAACATTTTTGGGAAATCCGAACACCCAGTTTAAATGGTTTTATTTTAATAAAAGTTGATGAATGTATTTATCTTACTGTAAATAACAAGTGAAAAAATTTTCAGCCTTATCAGTTGGACGTTCCGGTTTTTATACTGCTTTTTTAATTCACTAACGCTCTAAAAATGAATATCTCGGCCGCAGTAAAGAATCAACGTTGGCGGATTTTGGTTCTTGACATCCTTCACGATCGGTTACGGTGCCTAGAGTACGGAGACCTGTACGATTTCGTCAACTTAGTGAGTTTGATAGGGGCCGTATAGTGGGACTTCGGGAAGCTGGACTTTCTTTTCGGGCAATTGCAGTTAGAGTGCAAAGAAGTGTAGACACTGTGGTTAGGTGTTGTCAGGCATGGCTTCGAGAAGGCCGTACGCAAAGAGCAAGGGGCACTGGACGCCCGTA